TAGATAGATAGATAGATAGATAGATAGATAGATAGATAGATAGATAGATAGATAGATCAATCTCTGGTGGTGTAGTGGTTTACACATTGGACAGCTAACCACAAGATCAGCAGTTAGCATCCACTAGCCACTCAACAAGAAAAAGATGAGGCTTTCTGCTCCTGTTAAAATTTGCAGCCTCAGAAATCCTATACATGGTGGCTATGAATTCAAACTGCCTTGAAAGCACACAACCACCACTGTGTGTATTTGTGTGTGTGTGTGTGTGTGTGTGTGTGTGTGTGATTGTTGTTGAAACAAAGTTTCACCATCCTGGCTTCTAAGAAGCATTCTCTCTGTAACTTCTTCCAACATAGATTTGTTTGTTTTTCTACAAGGCCATGGTGCTTTTATATTTTCCTTGAACACCGTAACTCAAATACAGCAATTCTACTACAGTATTTCTTATTCATAGCCCAACTTTCACATGCATATGAGGTTATTGAAAATGCCATGGCTTGGGCCAGGCACACCTTAGTCTTCAAGCTGATATCTTTGCTCTTGAACACTTTAAAGAGGTCTTGTGCAGTAGATTTGCCTAATGAAATATGTCATTAGATTTCTTGACTGTTTCCAAGAGTGTTGATAGTAGATCCAAATAAAATGAAGTCTTTGACAACTTCAATCTGTCCTCCATTTATCATGATGTTATTTATTGGTCCAATGGTGAGGATTTTTGTTTTCTTTACATTGAGATGCAATTCGTATAGAAGACTATGATCACTGATGTTCATCAGTAACTATTTTAAGTCCTCTTCACTTGCCAATACTGATGCCATGTCTTTCTTTATATAACTCAGCTTTTCAGATTATTTTCTCAGTATACAGATTGAATAAGTATGATGAAAGAATGCAACCCTGGTGTATACATTTTCCTAATTTTAAACCATTCAATGTCCCTTGTTCTGTTCAAACAACTGTCTCTTGGTCTATAAAAGTTCCTCATTTGTACTGGAATAAGTGTTCTGGAAAACTAATTCTATACAATGTTGTCCTTAGCATGTCATGATTCACACAGTCTGTAGCCTTTGCACAGTCAATAAAGCACAGATAAGCACCTTTTGGGTATTCACTTTCAGCCAAGATCCATCTGATGTCAGCAATTATATCCCCCCATTCTACATCCTCATCTGAATCCAGCTTGAACCTCTGGCAATTCCCTGTCAATGTACTATTGCAACCATTTTTGAATTACGACACCCTCGGAAACCCTATACAGGGTCGCTATGGGTCGGAACTGACTCGATGGCACACAACAACAACAACAACATACCAAAATTGTACTTGCATGTGATATTAATGATAGTTTGATGATTTCTGCATTCCATTAGGTCACCTCTCTTTGAAATAGGCACAAATATGGATATATTCCAATCAGCTGGCCAGATAACTGCCTTTTAAATTTGTTAGCAGAAATGAATGAATGCCTCCAGTGCTGCATCAATTGTTGAAAGATTTCAGTTTCTTTTTAATCAGTTCCCAAAGCCATGTTCTTTGCCAATGCCTTCAGTGAACCTTGGACTTCATCCTTCAGTGTCATTGGCTCTTGATCATATACTATCTCTTGAAATGGTTGAACATCAGCCATATTTTTTTTACAATGACTCTTTGTGTTCCTTCCATCATCTTTTGAAGCTTTCTGCATTATTCAATACTTTGCTTGTAGAATCCTTTAATATTTAAAGTCCAGGCTTGAGGTTTTTTGTTTTTTTTTTTAGTTCTTCCAGCTTAAGAAATGCAGAGCATTTCTTTTGGTTTTCTGAATCAGGTCTTTTTACATTTCATTATGATGCTTGAATTTGTCTTCTTAAGCTGACCTTTGAAATTTTCTGTTTAGCTATTTTACTTCATTTCTTCCATTTGCTTTAGCATCTATGCTGGAGAACAAGTTTCAGAGTCTCTTCTGACATTCATTTCATATTGGTCTTTTCCTTCTTTCTTGTCTTCTTAATGACCTTTTGCTTTCTTCCTGTATGATGTTCTTTATCTCACCCCACAACTTTTCTGGCCTTCAGTCATTAGTGTCTAATACACCAAATCTATTCTTGAGATGATATCTAAATTCAGGTGGGACATATTCAGGGTTAAATTTTGACTCTTGTGGACTTGTTTTAATTTTCTTTACCCTCAGCCTTGCATATGTTCAGTTGATAATATGTTCCACAGTCTGCCCCTGGCCTTGTTTTGTTTGATGCTATGGAGCTTTTCCGCTATCTCTTCCCAAAGATGCAGTCAATTTGATTTCTGTGTATGTCATCTGGTGAAGTCCAGTTGTATAGTTATCTTTTATGTTGTTGAAAAAAGGTGTTTGCATTGGATAAGTCATTGGTCTTGTAACCAAGGCCACATTTTCCAACTACTGATCCTTCCTTTTTTTTCCCCCAACCTTTGCATTCTTATCACCAGTAATTATCAATACATCTTGATTGCATGTTGGGTTCATTTCAGACTCAAGAAGTTGGTAGAATTCTTCACTTTCATCATCACTGGCTTTACTGGTTGGTGCATAAATTTGAATAATAGTGGTATTAAACTGATCTTCCTTGTTTTGTTATTGTTGTTAATTGCCATCATTTGGTTCTGACTTATAACGATCCTCTGTAGAGTTGCTGAGGAGTGAATGGTGGGTTTGGACCATGAACTTTGCAATTCAAACAACCTTACAGTCCAGTGCTTATCCTATAGCACCACACCAGAACTCTATGTATATTGATGCATAATTTGATATACCAATGGACTCAAGTGTGGCAACAGTAGTGAGGTTGGTCCAGGATCAGGCAGTGTTTCGTTCTGCTGTGCATAGGGTTGCTATGAGTTGGTACCAACTCAATGGTACCTACAACAACAACATACACACTTAAGCAATGTTATTTGTTTTATTTTAATATACAAAGCATAACATAAACCAATCCAACAGTTTTCACATGCACAATTCAGGGAAATCACTCTGTTTTTATTTACACTGCCATAGTTTCAATTCTGACTCATAGCAACCCTATATAGGGTTTCTGAGACTGTAAATTTTTACAGGAGTAAAGAAATCTTTCTCCGGCAAAGGGGTGGGTAGTTTAATCCATTAGCAGCCCAATGCTTAACTCAAAATAACACCATTTGCAATGTTCTGCTAATGGAGCTATGCAGCATTCTAAATTATTATTTAGTGCTGAAGGTAGGTACATGTTAATTATCTGCACACTATATCACCTAACCTCCCTTGTGAGTCATGGATGAGAATAATTGGGGGTTCTACATGTTACTGTGAAACTAAGAAAAGGTTTACCCAGGCACCAAATCAGAAACACCTCTTTTTAAGCCCAGATTCCAATCCATCTTGAACTTTACAGCCACAGAAAAGTTGCCAAGTTATCAAAAGTTTTCAGGGAGATTTAAGAGGCCAAAAACATTAACTGGGGTTTTGAAACAGGAAGGAAAAACATTTGGGAAGGATCTGTATCTAATTCTCAATTCTCAATTCTCAATTCAGTTGGTGAAAGAGGGTGCTTTAGTTGAAAGGCAGGGCAGAATTAATAGAGTCTGTTCTCTAGAGTTAAACACCCAGAGTTGAATTCTAGCTCCACTACATAGGCATTAAATAATGTTGTTGTTGTTATTGTTGTTAGGTGCCATTGAGTCGGTACCAACTCATAGTGACCCTACGCACAGCAGAACGAAACACTGCCC